CATCTCATTAAGATGTTTTTTTTCCACTGCTCAAAACAGTTTCTGAACTAATTGATTTTGCTGCATTTTAGTGCTTCTGCCATTTTTTGTTTTAGCTCTTCCACATCAGAAAAACGTTTCCCTCTGAGGACTTTTTCCATCTGGGGAAACAAAAAAGCTGCTTAGTGCAAGATCGGATGAATAAGGATGGTCAGGCCCAGGGGTCATGCCATTTTTGATCCAAAACTACTGAGCACTCAGCATAGGTGTGGGCAGGTGTGCTCATAAATCACCAATACGAAATGGGCAAATGTGTTCAAAGTCTTCAAAAAAAATTCACTGAAGCTGAATGCAGCCTCTCACAACAATGCCAGCTGGTACACTGATACAGATGGGTTCCTAGAACACTCACCTAGTGGGAGAAGCCTGTACTACAAGGGTCCTCCCTCCAGAAGATAAATTAGTTTTTGGGGGGTCCTCCTTCGTATATGTTGAAATTTGTCATGAAAATTAACTTTCCACAATTTCTGATAAAAAATAGAACACTGGTGTATTTCAGTCTAACAAAATATGCCATATTTTAGTACCAACTGCTCTCTTTTTTTCTAAAGTATACATTATTAATGATGTTCATTATTTTTGTATTTCTATTATTTTTTTCTCATGCAAAATCATTAATAACATAAGACATGGTGTTCTTTCAATAAGTTACAGATTCTCAAGTTATACTTAAGGAGTGTTAGATTCTAGGTAAGAAGAATTAAAATAGCTGAGATGGTTATAGATTTTCAAGTTAGAAACGGGGGCATCACTGTAAGCTCTGGTGATGATCTCAGAGCATTAACAGCAGCAGAAGGAGCAACTGGCATTATTTTCATTCAGAGACAGGATTTTCAACACGTTTGAAAGTTCAGAGCAGCATGCAAGAGGGATCACAAGATGGTAACTGTGGCTGGCTGTGTTTGTCAAGTAGTGTGGGCACACTACTAGCCTGAGAGTAGATAAAGTAGAAAAGGCACAGTCTCTGCAATTAAAGGCTTGTGGTATGGTAGAGGTCAGTAAGTACATGCATCAAGAACAATGTAAGAACTTTTAGACCCATGGGGAACACTAAAGAGAAAGTCATTGGTCTTTCTCTTTAAAGAGAAAGTTTCATGTTGGTTATGGTTCTGGATTAGGTAGTAAAATAGCATGAGTTTTGGTGTCAGAGCCAGGCTGTGCTATGTTCAAGGTAAATTTAAGCTGCATCTCAGATAAACATAAAAAATAAGATAAAAAGTTGACAGGTGAAAAAGAGGAGAGATAGGGAATGAAGGAAAGTGTTAGAGAGGAAATAAGGGATGGTGAAAAGGAGAGATAGAGAGGACATGAGTGCAGGTGGGGTGTAGAGGAGAGTGTGCTTGAGCAAAGGCACTGCCCAAGACACAACAAAAGATATTTAGTGGCTCTGTACAGATGGAGACCTGGTATAGGTGAGACTGTGAAGAGAGGCAGGGACCAGATCTTGGAGGGATTTGAATGCCATAAAATTCTGTTTTTTTGTTGTTCATGAAGGAATGCGCAGTGAAGGTATAAGACAAACTTGAAATGTTATATTTAATCATTTACCCTTTTAAAGAACATGTATACTTATAGAAATAAGTCCTTTTACCTCCAATGTCTGTTTTTGCCACGTGATAAACTGGATGACTAAATTTAAAAAAAATCCTTTCTAAAATTGAATGGATGTGAGTCAATGCCACAGGTCAGGAAAAGTAGATGATTGGAAATTGCACTGAGAATGTTACATTTAATAATTTACTGGATAAGCCATGTGTTCAGGTTTCATAAGAATTTTTTAAAAGAAATCTATTTAAATCTCACTGAATTCATTTTATCATTTCTACTAGTATTAAAATCTCAATCTTGGTGATTCTTAGTATTTTAGTCACTTCCAAATTAGAATTCAATCTTATTGGGTAAATACCTAAATTGTAGTTCTCCTCTTCCTTCCCACCCTCTTTTTTTTTCTGCATTAATATTTCATTATTTTGGTATTGGTCCTTGTAAACTCTTCTGTAGAGATCTTTCCAGGTGGTCTTCAATGTTACCCTTTGCTCCTGATGCGCTCGTTGCTGTTGTGTGTTGTCCCACCAATGTCTCCAGCACAAATCTCATGAAGTTTCTTCTTGTCTAGCACTCCTGGTTATCTTTCCACCAGCCTTGCGGGCGTGAGAAATCTTTGATTATCTCCTTCAGACTGAAACATATCCTTTAGATAATGTGCTGCTATATCATTTTGAAACTATGCTTCTCATGGGAATTCTGTGAGCACATAGGGAAGACAGTGTGAAGCCTACTAAACTGGGGTTTCCCAAGCTAATTTGTATTTTTTATTTCCAATCCTTTAAGAGTTGGCCTAAAATGCCAAGTTAAAGGAGTCCAAACCTTCTATCTATCATCTATCTATCATCTATCTATCATCTATCTATTTACCTACCTATCATCTATCTATAATCTATCTATACACATATATTTATACATATATGTATATATGTGTATACATATATATACTGTATAGTATATATATATACACACACACACACACACTATATATATAGTATTCAAACCAGAAAGTATTCTCCTTGTGAGATGAGGACTTCTAAATCATTAAGTATTCCTTCCAACTCTTTTATGTATGGTATAAATTGTAGGTTTGAAAGCCATCAGAATTACTATAGTCATTCAAACTCAAAAATTTAGATTCTTTTTCTTTAAAAGGGCCTTGTTTCCCAGACTAATTCAGAACTCAGATACAAGACTTTGACTCTTTGTTCTTACTGAGATATTCTGTCTTTTCACTTGTTTAGCCAGTATTGTTTGAGCACCTGGCGAGACCTAGGGAATCTTGTAGGTGCAAGAAGTGATGTATTTAATGAAACAAAAATTGGTGACCTCAAAAGTACATTTCTAGCGCAAGGGAACAGATACAGAAATTAATAATTTATTAATTAAACAGTATTAAATAATGCTAAATGATATGGAGGGAAAAAATCAGGGAAAGACCATTTATAAAACAATACCATTTTATATCTTTGTTTTACTACCTCTAAGTCTATGAAATTATGAAGAAACATCAACTTAACTTTTTTCTTTTTTACACCATGATAACTTAAAGGATTTCTTTGTTTACTTTTGATATTTTCATTTATTTTAAGGAAAAGATTTGTTCAGGTTATTATTTTCAAATTTTTTTATTTAAAATTATTCAACATATACTCAGTTAGATCATATGAATACAGATTAACCAGGAAATTTTTTTAGATCTCCATAGATTGTCTACAACATAAAATTATAGTATGCTGTAAAGTTCTAATTGTGTGCATATATTTATGATATAAATCTGAAAAAGAAATTTACTTGAGGTATTGTGATTTTCTATTTGGAATAAATTGTCCAGTATAATTTTAGAAAAATAGAAATTAAAACACTACACATTGTTTTCTTGAACAAATCTGGAGGATCTTATTTAAGCAAATGAAATTGCATAAGTTGATTTTCAATAACAATTTTTAATGAATGACATTTTTATAAATATTACACAAAACAATGTCATTTCTTTAACTTTTGATTATAAGTTTTCTGTCATTCAGAAAATAAAAGTTACATGCTGAGAGAACTAATAATAGAAAGACTTTCCATTCTTAAAATGTTTACTGTTTTGCAGGCCTTAAATCTAATTCTAAGAATGACCCACAAGTTGGGCATTACCTTTTGACAATTGAAAAAAAATGATATTTGATGTTGAAATATTTAAATTCATTATCATACTTATATGAAACTTATGTTCTCAAATAAAATAAAAAATAATCACTACCTAGATTTTGTTTCTTTTGCATAGGTCACACCATCCTCAACATAGATATTTTCTTCCAAAATGAGTACAAGTTGTTAAACCAATTCATATGTTTGTAAATAACTATGGTATCAAAAATTCTTATAGATGCAAAGCTATCTTGCATGGAATGTATCATTCTTTGTTTGAGTTTCAGCTTTTTTCTTCTGTAGTCATCCTTTCTAAAGAAACACACTCATAACATATCTTACTCCCTAACATATTTTATTCCCTAATGAAGAAGAACAAATCAACTCTGCTTCTTGTGCCATAGATTTAATTTTTCTTTTTTTACAGAAGTCTCTATAAAATTTCAGTGTATTTAAATCCTTTGAAATATAAGAAAACTCTTTAACACCTTTTTTTTTTGCTAAGAGTTCACATAAGATTTATTAAATTTTTAAGTTCTATCATTTTAAATAGTTTAAAATATTTGTCTTTGAAATAAATGTATTTAAAATAACATGAGATATATAAGGAAAACAATGAAGAATTACATTTGGTTTTAATTAGTAAAGTTCTGAACAATGACTTTGTATAAGATAAGGGCATTAATCTAAATTTCCTATTCATTTTTATTTGGTTTTTGGAGTTTTTTTTACATAACTTATAACAAACCACATTTTTTGAAGATTTACATTAAATTCTTATAAAATGCCACTCATCAAATTGTCTGAAAATAAATGTTATACTTTATTTGGGATCCTGACTGAAAATATTTTGACACATATACTTTAGTGTTTGAATATTCTATTGCCTCTGTTCTCTTGAGAGTTCAAGGAAATTTAAAATAACATGATTTCAGAGTGAAATAATAAGCTACAGGACATTACTTTCTATGTTCTTCGTAGATAATTATATAACAACAAAGTCTCCTTTTTCTTTTATATGTATAAGTTATTGCACAGATGATCTTCTTGCTTCTCCTGAGGTGGCTTCATAATATTCATTAAAAAAGTGTACATATGAAATTTGAAATAATTTTGGTAGTAAAAATTTTTTTTCTTTCATAATTACTGTTTTATATGCAATGATTTTACAATGTCTACATATTTACTGACTAAAAATTGTTTCTCATTAAATTTGGGAAATTTTGTGTCACCTTATCTTTGTTGTTCTTACTTTTATTATTTATTTATCATTGCAGATTAAAAAAATCAACAGAAATTTCCCTGTAAACCAGCAGGTAAGATGGAGAAATGCTTAGAAAGTCAAATTATAAATTTATTTAATTTTATAAAAGAATAATGAAAACAATATTGATTTACTTATTATAAAAGAATATTGATTGAATTTAATTTTTATGTGGAAATAATTGGTACTACCATTAGCTATCTTCAGGAAAATACCTAACCTATTAGATTTTTTTACATGTGATACATTTGTTCATCTAATCACATTAGAAGCGGTTTTAAAAAACTTTAAATAAAGTAAATACTATTTTTACACAAATTATATTTATTTAAATACAATTTTGAAGAACATGAAGAGCAATTTACATGACATAGTTTTACTGTATCAACATTTGGGAGAACATTACATAAGTGACCTAAAAGGGATTTGAAAAGTTTACTGACTGTATTTCAAATGAGTATAAATGCATAGAATAAAAATGTCTGATTAATCAAGCAGTGAATTTCATTGGCTTATAAGACTAATAATTGATTATAGAATAAAACAATTATAGAAAAATAACTGTTCTCCTTACAACTTTATTATACTAAAGTTAGCTTTTGTGTTACTTTTATAAACATACTAAAATATTAATTTGGTAAGAAAAGTAAGTGAAAGCTCAGTGCTTTGACTCATGTCATTGGTACATCAAGTTTGTGTGATGGTGGAACAGCAATTGAAAGGCATAAACTTACTCTTGGCAACAACCTCAATTTTCAACCAAAGATCACAATTTAAATATCTAAGATATCTATTTATAAATGGCACACAAATCTGAAGCTAATTTAAATTGTAAAAATTTTAAAAATAATTTATTAGCTTATAAAAACTAGGTTACTTTTCTTACCTATACCTCAGTTCCCCCACCTATCTCTACGAGCACATGTAAAGTTCTCTATATATACCATTATTATCATTAATGTGTTAAATTTTTAAACTTTTCCCCTTGGAACACAAAATGTACATTCTCATATAAATTGTATCACTAGTTATACTGCCAACCCTGACTAACCTGCTAAGCTGTGTGTTACTGAAATATTAATGAGAACAGCTTTGAAGTACTCATTGTGTCTACAATTTCTTGAACTATCTATTTCCAGCCCTACGTGTCCCCTGCTTCTTAAATTCACATCATCATGCCTGAGCTAATTTGATGTGTTGGACAGATGCAGAGGTTGGAGAGATATATGGGTCTCGCCACACTCTGCAGCAAGCTGTGTTTGTAATTGAGGCCCTTGTTTAAAGTGCTAAGACCAGAGCTCTAGACCAGAACTGATGTCTCAGTAGCTTTGTGATGACCAGAGAGATTCTCTTTGTAGCTCCCATCCCATCCCAGGTGATCCCAGTGCTGGTGGTGCACAGGTGACATCTTAGAAAGAACAATTTAACAATTTCATAGGACTGAAGTAGAGGGAAAATCTGTTAATGAGAAATTATTCAAATAGAAAGATGCATCAGCCATGGGGGAAGATTCTTATATCCATTGGTAGACATTGCTTTTTTTGTTAGATATATAAAAATATAGATCTACTTATTTGGGGAATTCTTGCTAAAAATATAAAGAATAAACATTTTTGAAGAATGACTCTAATATCTGTGTTATCGCCCCTCTTTGCCCTTTTGAACTCAACATGTGAAGAATTAATAATTAGTATAATTTATAATACTGTGAATGTTTCACAACCTTGACAACCCCGCAGCTATTTTTTATTTATAATGAAAACTATGTTTAACACTTTCTATATATTTATTTTAATGACTTGTAATGTTCCTTGCCACTTCTGCACTTATTTAGGTTTTGAATAATACTGACTGAAGTTAATAATCTTAAAAAATTATTGATAAAATAATGATAATAAATTTTTAATATTTAACACACATATATAATAAACATAAGTCAGCATTAGTATTCATGGTTTTTTTATTAGACTTTGTGATATCATTACTGAAATTTAATTTGAAATCTCTTCTCATTTCATAATTTTTAAATTATAATTAATTATTCCTGTCATTTTAAAATACAAAAGCAAAAGTTAACAGATTTTTTTCTTACTACTTTCTATAAAGTAAATAAAGATTATCAGGAAGTACAATAGTTCAACATTCATATATATCCATAACCTGCATAGTGTTATACCAGTGAATTAGGAAAGCAGAGTCTATTCCTTACTTAATAAAATCTGAGCCACCTTAAGGAATAAAAATCTAAAAACACATATAATCTCATTTCTCATCCAGATTTACCTTTCAAACAGAACTCTTTTAGCCCACTTATCTTGGACTAAACCACATTGTTGCTTTCACTTCAAATTTCTTCCTAACTTAATTTCTCATGTAAAATTTTCTGAACTTTATATTACATATATGTTGATATGTGTGGTTCTGATTAAATATTATGGCATATTTTAAAATATTAAGTGTTATGAAATGAAAATCAAGCCCCCTCAAAGCTCTAGGTCTCAAAATAGAAAAATAAGATGTCACCCAAGTATATTGGCACAGAAGTTTCCCATTTATTGTGGGATTTGATTTTGAATTGGGCCACCTGTGGGATTATGGCAACCGCAACCAGAGAAATTAAAACAGAAACAAAACAAAAAGTACTTGAGCTGGAGAAATTCACTACTACCTGGGAGTTGACAGTACCACAGATTACCTCCCTAGCTATATTTCCACAGTTCAGAATACATGAGATGTTCAGTAAAATGATATTCACCAAAGAAGAAATTGTAATCAAATGTAAACCATATGAGGAAATAAACCATTGCAAGAGAAAACATTGTGTGAAGATTAAAGAACAATCCAAAATTGTTTTTATCTTATTTTGTTTTTTTTATGAGTTCTTTCTCTTTTTTAAAATTATTATTTATTCTATCACAGTGTCCCCACTTTTTTCCCTTTTGGCCCCCTCCACCCAGCCCACACCTCTAGCCCACAACTAATCCCCTCTCTGTTGTCCATGTCCATGGGTTGTTCATACATGTTCTTGGACTTGTCCCTTCATTTTCCTTCCACCATTCCCCCGTCTCCTCCCCTTCAGACTTTTTTGTTTTATGAAATAAATATATGCTAAGTGAAATAAGCCAGTCAAGAGAAAGACAAATGCCATGAGATTTCACTCATAGTTAGAATCTAATGAACAAACTGAATTAACAGCAAAATAGAGACAGACTTGGAAAGAGCAGGATGACAGCTCTGGGAGGGGAGGGGAAGGGGCAGGTATTGAGCAAAAAGGAATAAAGACTCATGGACTTGGACAATAGAGTGGTGGTTTTGGGAGGGGGATAAGGGGGCTAAATGGTAATGAAAATGCAAGATAAAAATAAAATAAAGTGACCCTCTTACAGACAGCAAAAAACGGAATATAAAGTGTAAGACAAAAAGAGGACATGTCAAAAATGTAGATCATCAAAAGAACCAAATAGAAGTTCAAAAACTAAAAAAGTGTGTATTTAAAATTAAAATAGCTAACCTATTGAAAAATAGATTAAAATGAAGAAAATATGTAATTTGAAGTAATATATCTGAGAATATCATCAGAATGTGGAAACTTAAAAGAGGAAAATATAAGAAAGCTAATGTCAGACATAAAGTTAATGAGAAGCTCCATAAAGCAAATACTGCAGAAAGACTGAAGAAAATGCACGAGAGGCAATGTATGAAGAAAGATAATGTCCTCAAGTTCCTGTGAAACTTTTAAGAACCAAACTAACCCTTGAGCATGATGAAGAGAAACAAAGGATCTGAAATAACCTCAATTTTCAGTTGGCTGGGTGCTGTGCAGACATTTTCTTCTTATCATTTTTATTCATTTGTAAGGACTGCATACTTAATAAATAAAGAAAATCCACCTTTGGTATTTTTATGTAGCCTAAATTAGCAATATTTTTGGATCATAGTGTTTGTGTATTATTTTTAAATTTTAATCAAATCAAAACTTATAAAAATAAAAAATCCATTGTTTATTTCTATTAATTTTATATTGTTTCTTTTATATTGTCACTCATAGGACCTTAAGCACTTCCCTCTTATTGCAATTATCACATTATATGTTATTCTTTATTAATGCATCCTCCCTCTCCCAGCCCAAACTCAACTGTAAACATTTTGAAGGTAAAAATATTAGTTTTTATTATATCATTTTCTCTTAACACAGTGCCTTATGTATCGTGATTATTGTAGAGATCTCAATGTAAAAAGAGAAGAGGGATGGAAGGAGAGGGGGATGGGGGAAAAGGAAGGGAATGGGAGGGTAGGGGAACGTGTAGCAAGGTCTCATGGACAAAAGCAAAGGGGAAGGATTGAGGGAGGGCGGGGGGAGGGAGGCAAGGGAAAGTGGTGGGGGGAAGGCAGAGACAAATGTATTTTAAAAAATAAAAAATAAAAATAAAAAAAGTTTGAAAGTGTCTTTAAATAAGAAATGTTAGAAATCTGAAACTTCATCAAAATTTAAAATTTTCACGTTTCAAAAGTTACTCTTTTAAGGAAAAATACAGAGCACACTGGAAGAAAATATTTGAAAATCATATCTAATGAAAGGCTCGCATCTAGAATATATTTTTTAAAAATTAAAAGCCAAACTTTTAGAAAACAAGCAACAAGAAAAGATACCAAGATTTGAACAAACACTTCACCAAAGTGTACAAATATCAAATATGCAGGTGAAAAAATACTCAAACTCATTAGAGACATGCAAGTTAGAAGCACAATGAAATAACACTACACCTTAGCTAGAATGACTAATTATAACTGTTCATACTAAGTAATGATAAGGAGGAATTTGAATTATTATAAATTGCAGGTGGTGATGTAAAATGTCACAATCATTTTGGAAAACTGTTTTGCAGTTATTTAAAAAGTTAAATGTACATGTACCACATAATCCAGCCATTCTACTCCTAGGAAATAAAAGCATATGAGCATAAAAAAGATTTGTTCATGAATATTCGTAGCAGCTTTCTATGCTAATAGCCCTAAATAAGAAACAACTCAAATTACATCAATGGGTGAATG